TTCAACAGCAGCTTAAAGAGATTTGTGTGTACAGTAGTTTAGCAAACAAAGGTTTGTCTGAGAGGGGAGTGCATCCCTGTTAAATCATGTTTTGAAAAATCACATCCTTGAAAAATGGTATGGAAAAATTAGTGGAAATGGCATTTAATACTATGACTAAAAGAGAGCGTCCTCTGTCAAATACTATGCAAACATTTAGGCTACTTCCCTGGAATAATTTTCCTTTCCTGGTCATTTAAGTATTTAATGAGTCTCCAGAGACTCCTTTTCCATGTCCCAGGGCAAACATTTGGAAGTTTTATCAAACTGTGAATGTCTAAGTATTCCCTGGAGAATAAAGAAGCAAGTCATAACCATGGAGTTATAAATGGGAAAAATCTCTTATTAAAAAATGGGATTTTAACTGTTTGGGGCTTAACTTTGCTGCAAAATACTTTCTTTGTACTTAGGCAAGTCCTTTGCTTATAGCCTTTGTGGGGAGAATTGTTGCAGAACTTTACATTAGATGAGCTTGGATAGATAATATCTTAACCAAATAAGATTTTCTGACACATTACATAGTATATGAACTTTAAAGCAGATGAGTTTTATGCATTTGCAACATCCTGTATAGGTCATTATTACAAACCTGAGGTAATATAAAATTATACCTAAATAAGGTGGTCTAAATCAAAATGGTAGATACAATCTTGACTTTAAGATGGACCAGTTAAGCAGAATAGATGTTGTTTCATTTTTATTTGGACTGTAGTTACAAAGCTGTCTCATCACCATATAGGACCTACAATCAACACTCCTGCACCTGCAAGAAGGACTTTGGAACTTGTATAATAATACCATGAACAAACATCAAGTAATATTTAAGTATTTGCTATTATTTGTATAATTATCTCAATCCAAATTCAGTGAGCCAAAGGGTAAAATTTACCTATGACGCATTTCCATGAAATCCAGGAGAGATAGTGTCATTATACCAGAAATTATTTGGTCGTTGGATAGTATTTGGTTGTCTCTTGCTTTCTCTGTATTCAGCTGGTTTACTGATTGTTTTCTGCAGTGGAGGGTACTCTGGGAGTCTAATATCTCTGCACAAAACACTACTCAACTTTAGGCCATCTTAAATTCATTCACTGAAATTGTTCTTCCTGTTTTTTTGAAACTGCTCAGCTTTGAGAGAGAATTGTATTTTTCTTACCAGTCAGAAATGAACACTCACCTATATCGCTTGGGGTACTTCAGTAGTTCACAACTGAAATTAATGGCAACATATTTATGTCAAGCATTTAATATGATGCACAATGCATCTTTATTTTAGCATTCCTGTCTGGGAAAGACCCCTATTTTGCTAAGCACAAGGTGGTTTGGGGTAGACAGAATTGTGACTGCAGCCAGCATAGTTCTGAAGGACATGTGTGTTTTCAAGTAAATAGTAGGTACAGGAGCATGGCTACAGAGTTCATATTTCCAGTAAAATTAGAGAATAAAAATGTCATGAGCAATTTAAATATTATTTATAATTGACCTTCATGTCTGTTTTTAATATTCAATCTGCTGAGTGTTTAAAAAAGCAATTAAAAGTCCCATATAATGTTAAAACCCTTGATAAATGTAATAAACAAATGACATATTCAAAAGAGAGAGTCTATGTCCCATTAGGAGAGAAAAAGAAAGATGAGAGCAACATATGGCAGTATAATTAGCATGATTAGGGAAGCACATCAACAGAATTTATGCTGCAGGGAAAATGTAATAAGAAACCAACACACTTTCCTCACTGCCTTGAAAACTGCAAATATCACTCTGAAAAGGAGAAGATGCAGAAAGGCTCCCTGGCATTTAAAGCTGTAACTTGTGTTCTTCTGCCATTATTAAAGATGCACACAGCCATCTGCAAACCATTTATTTTTTGCAGGGTTCACATTGTCCCATTGCTTTGATTAATAAGGAGCAATATTACACCTCAGCTGCTTTTCAGAAAGATGCTATTTTGGAAACCTAATTAATACTCATTCCACAGTTAGCTTGAGGTGTTCGTTAGTGCCAGATACTGAGTTCTTATTTGTTTCTCATTATGTGGAGAGTATTGCTTTTCAATGACAACGTTTTTGTTTTGCATTTTGGAATAACCTTTCGACACTCCTGCTTCCCACAGCCCTCCCTTCAGAAGAGCTAATAACACCTGTCATCATTATTTTCACGTGCCTGTTAATGTCTGTTGAAGACATTGTGGGCTATTTACATAGATAGACTATCCTGATGCACAGCAAATATTCCTGCCATTTTCTGAACAGTTGGGCCAAAGAGAGAAGCAAAATTTAGGAACTTGGCAATGTAATTAAAATCTCAGCTTACCACTAAGGGTCAGTATATACTAGGCAAATGAATTATTACAAAATTGAAAGAGTATGTTTGTCTTGACAGTTTTACAAAATAATTTTTCTGCCCTAAAACCCCAGGATTATTTAAGAAATAAAACAAAACAAAAAATCTATAGCAGAATATAGGCACTGAACTTGTATAAACTCCATCAGCCCACCTTGATGTAACCGGAGATTAGCAGCATCTTATCAAGTGGCCTGAGGTTTACTGAAGGGTGCAAAATGTCTTGCTGGAGTTTTGCTCAAAGTGCTGCTATCCTCACTGGAGGAGAAAGGAGAGAATATAGCAAAACATAGGAAGCATTTAGCATCCACTTTGTATAAGCATACATACAGCATCCAAGTATAATGCTGTGCATGAAAAGGTTAGACGTAATTGTACTTCAGGAATCAATAGAACAACTGAGGCTCTTTCTGGAGCTCACCATTGCACTGAGCTGAAGAGAAAACAAAGAAAGAAAAGAAAGAACATCTGTGGGCCTGAGCAGCAACATGGATGCAATAGGATTGGGAGAAAGAGGGTCTTGAGAGATAGCATGTTTTAAATATGCCCTCACATTGTCTCCCCAGGGTTAGAGGAGAGACAATGCCTTATGCACTACAGGAATAAGGTCCCTCATCTTGACTTTGTCATTCAGATGAGGTCCTACCAGCAAATGACATCAGGGTGGATCCATAATAAAATCTCTGCAACAAGTCCTGTCCTTTGCCAGAAATCAGTTGCTATACTCAGATATGCATCTTGCATAAACTTGTGTAAATAAAGAGAGAAAGAAATGGGCTTTTAACATGGTAAAACAAAGGTGGAATTATTAGACATGGGTAGATGATAAGTTCTGGATTTAGAGATGTATCTAAATATTGGCATGGCTATCTGACACTCTTACTGGACTATGATGCTTCATCCAGATCACAAATTCTGCAAAACAGAATTGTTGTCCTCACATTGCTGCAGTTATAATCCTGGAGACACTCACATCCAGTTCAAACTAAGTCTGGTTGGTTTTTTTTCCCTATTATTTTTAAAGTGTAATCATACTTAGGTCCAACTGTCATCCTGAAACAGGGTGTTCAGTGATGAATTCTCCAAGCTCTTATCAGATGTTTTGTGTGTTGCCTTTGAAATGCTGAGATTCCGAAGTGTTCAATACCTTTTCCTGGTATCAGCTGTTATAAATCACATACATGTTTTCATTTGCCCATAGGTCCTAGAGAGTTCTCATCTGGAGCCTGTGGGTACTAATAACCAGCAAAAAGCCATTAATATCCAAAGTACTTTATTAGCTAGCAACACAGAGAGAGGGTGTGAGGTTAAACACCAGTGACTGATTCACAACTTGAGAGTGCTGTGGCAATGAGCAATTATGTGAAGAGCCTGGTGCTGAGCAAAAGCAAAGCCATGGCAAAGCTGGGACTGGAGCCCGGCTCTTCTTGCTGCCATTACAGTCCTAACTTGGGGCCATTCAAACAGTTTCTGAAGGGTCATTTCCATCTTTTTGTTGTTTGTGACATAAAAAGCTCCCAGTCCTCTAAGTCCCATAGCTGCTTCTGTATGACTGAAGAGTCCTTCTTTTAGTCCTTCTTGCATACCCTCGCTGAGCTGGAGTCATGGATCCTGCTTGCAATGTTTCTATTGAAAATGGAACCCAAGAGGACAGATACAGAGATACAGATGGAGAGAAAAAGATGGCTCTCAAATATAAAGGAACACTTGTTGACAGATCCTGTTCTCAGCAGGTCTTTGTGGAAGACCTCGAATTGAGAGTGAAATCACCGTGCAAGACATAGACAAAAGGCTCTGTGTTTTCATATAAGTCATCTCTTTTTTTTTTTTTTTTGCTAGCTCAACCCTTTAAAAGAGACTTAAAGCAGGGGAAAGTTAAACTGAGGGTAAAACTTTGTATCAAAGGCAAACAGTTAATACAAAATGACAGTGAATTCATTAAAAAATTTGCCATTGATAAAAAATGGAAATAATCTGTTAGGTGTCACTTTGACAAAACATGATTTTCCTTCTCCACCTTATTTCATTTTATGCCATAGAGTTTTCACAGCCTAACAAATGAAAAGATTGGTATGAACCATGACAGGCTTCAACCAAAAACCTAAAGCTCAGACACAAGTTAAATTTCTGCAGCTTGATATGCTGTCACTTAGTGACTGAAATTGTGACAAACGCAGGCAGAGGGGGCTGTAACTGTACTTGCTGCAGGTGATGAAGGTGGATATCCGCATTTCCCATGGCTCAGCTGGTGCATGGAACCCTGCTCACAGCTCCCACATGCCTGTGTTACCTCTGACTCCCAAAGTGAAACCTTTTCTAATGCCTCCAGATAACAATGATCTCTTGTAAAGAGAAATCATTTTGGCTGCTGTGACTAGGCAGCCTCGGACTAAAAGCAAGAAAAGCACTTTAAGCATCCAGGGAACACAGAGAAAAGTGTCTTTGCATCCTTCTACAGACAAAGAGTCACCTCTGCTTGCTTTCTTACCTTCTTTCTGTCCATATTACTGCAAGTAACTCTACCAACATTGGTAAAAACTGCCCTTAACTGAAAGGATCATTTTATACGAACATTTCTCTGTGCGCTAGACAAACCCTCTGTACAATAGACAGTCTTGTCGAAATTAACGTATTATTTATTTTGCACCTTTTAAATCAGTTTTATTTACAACAAGCCTTAGAGTACAGCTCACACGCAGTAGTTAAGCTCTGGCAGTACTGACGTCAGGTAGCTAACACATTTGCAGATTACGTTTCTAAGTCATAGAAAATGAAAGAAAAATGACTTTAAAATAACTGTTTTATCTTCAGGTATAGGGGTCACAGGACACATTTGCAGGTGTCTGTGAAGCCCATTTGAGGGCACTTCCCAGGGAGCCCCGGCGGCACATGGAGCGGGTGGTGGAGGGTCTGGTACACGCACGGCCCCACAGTTCAGTTACTCTCTGTGATGGGGCTCGGGACAGCTCTGCCCCAGTTAATGGTCCCACTCCTCTTCCCTTTCACCAACTCCCTCTTCTTCTTCTGGAAACACTGAATCACTCTGGCTCTTCAGATGCTTAATCCCTGAAAATATAAAAGTCACAATTAAAGTTGTGGTTTTTTGTTTTTTGGGGTTTTTTTGTTTTGTTTTGTCAAGGAAGAAAGAAACAGAAAACCAAAATAATGGCAAGTTAAATGCCCATACTGACTCCCCTTTACACAAATTTCTTAGTTCAAATAATGCTATGGTGTATTTATAACAGAAATGTTCTCTTCCTTGAATATAGGTTCAAAACAATATTTGCTTCTCTTTTTTCCTTTGTAACCTTTGATCAGAGTAGTGTTGCTCACCTCAAGGAAGTGAAAAGTTTTCAAGGCTCAGACTGTATGCATGGAAATTATTCTACCAGATTTCATCTGGAGCCTCTTTCTGAGACTGATTTGAGGAAGGTCATTGCTCGCATATGATCCCATGCATGATCCCAACTTCCCGTGTGCACCAGAGGTGTTCTCCAGTGTGCATTCCCACAGCCTGCCCACCACCTGCAGACCTGTCCTGATGCAAAGAGAGCATTGCACCTAACAGAGAGGACACTGCTGGCATCAAAGCCATGACAGGATTGGATCATTTCTTACATGGGGAATGTGTTTTTTTGAACCTCCAAGTACCACATGGGGCTGGGTGAAAGGGTAAATACCTATCATTGGATATTGGAAGTTCAGGTTTGAGTAAAGTTATGAATTACCTACTGCTGGCTGGTTTCAGCCAACAAGTGAAGTAAACTCTATGAAAATTAATCAAACTACAAAGTTATTTTCCATGTCCTGTGTTCAGTACAAGCAAGCAGGTCTCAATGAATGGGCGAAATTCCACCTTCTCAGCTCTGCCTTGTTGTGATAGAAGAATTTGAGCAGGAAAAGGAGGCAACATCAAGCTAAAACCATGACAGAGATGACAGACTGGAGATGAAGGGTTGTTAGTTTCAAAAGATTTAAAGAGCAAATGCACAAGATTAACTTCTGGGCCCCTAGTTTTTTAAAAACAAAGTAAGAACATAACTGTTTATCAAATGCATGATTTCAACAAAACATAAGCATGAATTAGGCTTTTTTGGTGTCATTACTGTTGTAACATAAAAAAATGTTTGGTTTCATTGAAAATCATACATTGTTCTTATCACCACTTCTAACTGTCAGAAAAAAGGCTTCCCTTTTGTATCACTTCCTCTCTGTGATGAGGAGAATTACATCCTAGCTGCTTTACTCAGCAACTGCTAGACAATCAAACACCCTACTATGCACCCTATGAATTACAGCACTTGTAGGGGCACAGTTTTCAAAAAGGTGTGCACCCTTACGGGATACAGGGCAAGATTGAGATTACCTCTAATTATGGGTAAGAGGAATTGATGATGGTGTATGTCTGAGAGTCAGGCAGCCAGTGCCACTTAACTTGAAGGTTCCTACGTTTCACTATTTATGTCCACACCTCTCCAAAGTATGGGATAGATTTTTTTCCATTTCTATCACTTGAAAAAAACTTCAACATAAGTTATTCCAGTTCAACAAAATTACAAGTAGCTGAATATGGTATCTTACAAGGGGTCGTACAACAGCCAGCTTCACTTCTAACAGGCTCTGGGTTCCTCTCACTTTTTTCTCCACACAAATGACAGTACATGGTTCCCTGGGAAGCTGTTGTTCAGATGTAAAACAAGCAAATACATTAACACTCCCAAGCCAGAGTTCTTGTAAGTGTGCCCTGCAATAATCAAACCATTTCCAATTAAGTAACTGTGATACATGAAGAAACACTTTGGTGCTCAGCTACCACCAAGCTCTTAGCACTCTCTCTTTAGCAACACCCTTTAGTAAGGCAAACACTTTAAATATGATTTCACCTAACTATAGGTTAATGGACATTTGTTTCCAAATTATATTGTGTTTGTAATGCAAATTTGTCTCCTGTTTACTCTGCACTAACAGAGCCATTTCTTGCACAATTCACAGCACCCCTATGTCAGCTACTCTTCAGTATTTCAGACAGGAATTGCTAGGATCCAGAGTGCATAATTTTCAAAGATGAGAAAGGGAAAGTTCAGGACAGAAAAGAAGGCACGTGATATACAGTTAGTATGATGAAGCTTCATGGAATGGTATTTTTTGTAGAAGTGAAGACTTTTGGTTATGTGGTTTAATTGCAATATTAAATATGGAAATTGTAGTAAATGGAGGGAAATTACATCAGTGAGCATTGCCCATTGACTTTCTCATAGCAAGTAGCTATCAATCTCATTTCATGATTTTTCCTAACCTCCATTCTGCATCCTGCCTTCAGCTCTGCCAGTTATTTAATGCCACAGTGTCACTTGGAAGTAAAGACTCACAGGGCTTCCTGCTCTGACCAACAAGTGCATGGCTCAGTGTCTTTATATATATGCCTCAAGATGTTCTGACAGCATCAGGTTGTCAGAATGAACTGATCCTAGGTGTGCCATGATGAAATAAGGTGCTCAACTACACAATGAAATAAGTTAGCATGAATCAACAGGTAAAGAAATTCCCGTCAGTAACATACGAACATGCATGACAGAAAGTGCTGGTGGCTGTCCTGAAAAGATACATTTCAGGCACAAAGCATCAGACTTTTACAGTGCAAAAAATTGTTTGGGGAAATAAAAATACTTAGTTAAATTACAGCAATCATACTCTTGGATTAAAAGTGTATCTAGCCACATCACATTGCAGTCTGGTGGTCACTGATGAAGCACAGTAATAAAGATGAGCATCAAATACAGATTTTAAGATTTTACTCATAGCAAAAAAGCAAAACAAAGGTAGAATATTTGCTGGGGGGGTATTTAGAAAATATTGTTTGTATGTTAAAGCACATCCAAGTTAGAAATGTCAAGTTACTAGTTCCATGTAATTGCAAATAGGGAGGACTGCAAATGTTGATCCATGGAGTCACTTTGTCTCCTCGGTGTCCCTTATTCTAGGCAATGGGTAACTGAATTTGTGGGCACCCTCACCTTCCTGAATTGCTGTGCCTGTGCTGTCCTGATGCTGCTTTGTTTCTCTCACTGGATGCCCTGCCCTGCCCTGCTCTCCCCTTGCTTGTGGATGGGGCTCACAGGGTCCCAGCCATCTCATGGTGCTGTTCCCCATCTCCTCTTCATCTGGCCCAGTCACTGCTCCACAATGTCACAACCCGGCTGGGGCTCTGTTCTTCACCTGGGAAGTCTGACAGCAAAAAGCCCCTTCCAGACCAAACGCTGCCCCTTCTAACCACTCCCTGGCAACCATTTCGTACACTCAGTGTGTTCAAACTCACCTTTATGCTGCTTTAAAACAAAGCCTGTCTGAACACTTCTAAAGCCAGCTGGAAAAGCATTGTTTTTCCTCAAAGGGCTTATTTTTCAGAGCAGATAATTTAATCCAATTAATGCTGATAAGTAAACCCATAATTCCAAGCCATATTCAGCAGCCATGCACTAATATGATTTGAACTGGTAATTCTTTTTAGATGAAGTCACTGCCTCAAATCATATTTCTATATTTCTAGATACTTACAAATTATGAGTGCAAATGGGACAACTTTCTGGCATTTTCGTAGTCACATAATAACATCCATGCTGTTTCATCATCAGCTGTCTTTTTGCTTCTCTCCATCTAACCAAAGCACCAGATTAGAAGGCTAAGCAGTGTCACAGGATATGAAATAACCAAGTGTTCCTGAATTAAGTAAAAAGAATTAAAAAATACTCCAGTAATTAAGGCAGCTCCCCATCCTATTTAACACTTCTTCCTTCACCCCGCTTCACTGCCCAAGGAAGAGTGTTGACATTTACTAAACTCAGGATTGAAGTCTGGTTGGCAGCTTGAATTCCCTGAAGTTTGAAGGGTATTTAGTTTTATGATTTGGAGCTGATCCTCTCTCTATCAAAAACACATTTCCAGATTTTCAGGAAGCAGAGAAAGGCAAAGCTGAGCCACATACAAAACAGGCTGATTTTCAGCATTTCAGGACTTGAATCACTTTGAAATTATCGTGCAAACAAACCTGGCCAAAGAAGATAACAGCCAAATAAAAATGTCTATTTTATGCCAGTGCTAAATGCATTATGCTCTCGTTCCTTCAGCAAAAATGAGAATATCAAAAGAAACATCATATATTCACACAACTAAACAGGAAAAAAGACTATTCTTTTTAGCAGTACATTTTGTTTTGCATTTATCAGTCAAATACATTTTGACTTCTCTGATATGTCTAATAATTTTTTCCCAGCTGAAAAGAATTCTTGACTTAAAAAACCCAACAAAACAAACAAACAAATCCCTAAAAATCTCACAAAAAACCCCCAACCCAACCCAAGCCAAACCAAAAAAAAACCCCCAAAACAGGAAAGAAAAAACAAACAAACAAAACCAAACCCCAAAGGAAACAAACAAACAAAACCAGAGTAAAACCCCAAAAGTAATGTCATAAAAATCAGCCTCCACCACAGGTTTTGGCTGAGTGCAGTGGAAAGCAGCTCTGAAGGTGACAGAGCCCAAAAGAGCTGGTAGGTCTTCCAGGGCAGCCTCCTCCAGGCATAGGGATGGCCCATACTGATACAGGATAACAAACAGCTGTTTCAGATCACAGGCAACTTTGGAGCACCTAACAGCAGCCTGCCTATACCAAGGAAAGTTACCTACAAGAGGGATATGTCTGTTCATGAATTGGAAGAGAGTACATTCTGACTGGATATAAGGAAGAAATTATTTCAATGAGTATGCTTAAGTACTGGTGTGGTTTCCCAGTGAAAATGTGAGGTTTGTCTCCAAGGAGCTTTTCAGTACTGAACTAGACAAAGCCTTGAACAACCTGGTTAAATTTGGTGCTGATTCTGCTTTATGCTACAGGTTGAACTATGAGCTTTCCCAAGATTTCTTGTGACCTAAATAACTATATGGTTTTATGAAATCAAAGCTCTGTAAATCCATTTTACAATAGTTTATAATAGTGTCTTAACATTAACTGTGTGATTGAAGGCTACATTTTGACCCATCTGGGAGCGTAAAATGTCTCCTTTTTCTGG